CCCTATTATTAGCATCAGTAAATAGTTGTTCTCTCTGGGTACTCTCCTTCCTCCCACTATCCAAAAACGTGTCTACTTGGTTTATTAGAGTCCCGAGTTTGAACATATGAGTGAGTGTGTGCATGTTCGTTAGTGCGCTTTGTTTGTGTCTGTGTGGCCCTGCGTTGGATTAGCGACGTACCTAGAGTCTACCCAGCCTCCCAACCCAAAGGACAGCAGGATAGAGTCCTCCACAAAATTGTATAGGGGAACTAAGTGATCCTTTGAGGCACTGTTTTTTTCATGAATCCAGTCCAACTCACCCAAATTGTTATGTGGTCTGTTGAAAGTAGGTTGCTATAAAATGGAAAAACTCTTGATTACTACAAACCTTGAGTCTTATGTCCTATGAGGCAGAGATGCAAGATAATTGTTGAAGTCAATTATTAACATAATATTTTCAAGTGACACTGGGTTAATCTTTATATGAGGTTTGATGAGATCAAGAAAACGGGGATATGGTTCAGAGGTAAAGGGTAAGTAGGGTAAGTGAGCAAAACTTGATATTGACCTCACCCTAACCTGAAAATCTTAATGGGACACTCGGTGAGATTTTTTCATACCTTGTGGATACATACAGTATATGGGCTCAGTGGCTTAAGATGTTTAAAAAAAAAAAAATGTAGTGTTTAGTGCTGATTTAAAAATCAGTTATATTATCTTGTTAATTAACTATGATCAGTGCAAATAAGTAAAAACTCATGGCTTTTATCTTAATGAAATCACATTTAGTTTTATGCAGTCTATAGACAGCAAGCGGTATTCTGGGCCTCTTCTCTGGAAATCAGATGCAGCTAGCTTCCTGTCATTAAAGACATCCTGGAGAGAGGTACTGTGGGCTTACTTTGGCTTGAGTAAAGGTCCATCTGGGGTAATCAATTATTTAGAACACTGAAGTCTTTAATTTTGTGAACACACACTAATTAGAAGTCCTCAAAAGTGTTCAAGGAAGAATTTGGAACCTCTGAAACTGTAGACCGAGTCCCTCAGGTAAAGTCTGTTTCCACTTGTTGCTTCTCTCATGTAGAGGGCCAGACAACGCCCTTTAGCCTCAAATGCCCTCAGAGTATTTTCAGTGTCTGCCATTTTGCATTTTGCTTGGTGAGCGTGTGCCACTGACGTGTTCCTCATCCTAGAGGCTTTCTTGGTCTTTGTGGGTTTCACTTTAGCTCAGACTGTGTCAAACAGGATATGATGAAACACAGCTAAAGAGGAGTTTGTGGCCGTCAATGATCTTGCATTGAAAAAAAAATTCCCTCTTAGGATTTGGCCTGTATTTATGTATGTATATATATATATATATATATATATATATATATATATATATTTATATATATATTTATATGTGTGTGTGTGTTCTGTAACTACACTGGAAATTAATTGACGGAAAAGGTTTTTTCTTCTTTGTCAATCGAGTAAGAATTCACTTAGAAGCAAATCGACCTCATAAGGTGGCCATGTCTCTCTCTTAATCAATAGAAAATTTCCTTTACCATCATCTTTAGCAAAGCAGTAATACACTACAATAATGTTGTACTGTTGTTTAGGTGTTGTATTAAAGCATTTCAAACCCGGTGTTGTACAGTACATATGTTATTTTTCAGGTGGGCGGTATTACAAAAAAGAAAGAGAAGTACGGATGTTGTCGGCTGTAAGAGATGCTTTTCCTCCCCTCTGCAGTGTTAATGACAGCTGTTTTAGACATGAAGCTTTTCCACTAAGCCAGGGAGCAAAGGAGTGCTTGCTTATGATTGTTGCCAAAACTTGTTGATGAACAGAATCTGTATGTTATTTCTCATCCCTTGTTAATTTATTGTATTTAGTTTTTATCATAGCAATACCAGACTACCGTGTTGTTCATTCAGCAAATAAGAAATCTCTCAGCATTGACTTCCTTGAGTCCAGCTGTACCGCCATTTCTTACAGTGCATGATTGTGGCTGGCCTGTCAGTACTGAGCTATCGTTGCTCATGACTAAATGGAAAAACCGAGTGAGTGGGCTTTTACAGTGTTCCCAGGTGACCATCCCTTGCCCATGAAGCCATCCACCTACTGGCCAATATCGCCAAACGTATTATCTGTCCTAAGATCACCTTAAGTACTTCATTACTTATGTGAATTGCAGATGCTTTAGTGGTTTGGTGTGTTGTGTGGTGTTTTTTGTGAGGGTTGTCCACTTCTAATTGGCACTTAGCTCCTTGTTCTACATCAGCTTTAATTAAATTAGTTGAATGAAACATAATGACTCAGTAATGGTTGGGTGTTTTGCATAGAGGTGCATCTCATGTGAAAGTAAGTACATCGCATTTGTGTATTTCCTCTTACATGAAATTAACTATTTTATTAAATTCAGGACTCCTGAGTAACTTCTTAATACAATGCTGTGCTTTTAACTTCAAGTTAGCATCAATGAATCAGTTTTTTGCTTTAATGGATTATATATTTTTTAATTTTCAATATGTCCTAAAAACTGATTTAATAACAACTCCCATGATTTTACAGTAATACTAAAACATTTTGTATTCAACGTTATTTAGTCTTTAGTTACATAGAGGCCATGAAATTTAGTCTTTTTCACCCTGATCTTTCGAAAAAACACTCCAATATTTCAATAAATTTTAGTTTAAATTCACAAACATTGAATAGTTTGTTTGTTTTTTATGTTTCAAGTATTTGCATATAAATGAGCTCCAAATACTGTAAACGCTTGATTCACATCATGAAACTAAAGTATTTTTAGGTTAGGTTTTGGCAGCACAGTGGTGCAGTTCTAAGTGCAGTTACCTTAGAGACACAGGGCTCCAGGTTTCAACATGACCTGTTTCTATTGCACTGGTTTTTCATCCCACAGGTCAAACACATGCATCATAGATTACTTTATTTTTTCCTAATTGGTCAGGGTAAGGGTAAACATTTATGGTTGTCTGGCTGTATTAGCTCTGTGATTAACTGGTGATCTGGTTAGCAGGGAAATGGATAAACGGATGGATTAATTGATTAAACTGTTTTTGTAAATTCCACTACGTGTAAGACAGATTGAGACCGATGGTGAGATTGGTAGTAGATGTTTTTCCTTTAGGGAAAGAAAGTTCAGAGTGACATGGGCCCACAAATCATCACTGTAGAATAACATTTTGCAATGCATGTATGTACAATTTACTCTTGACTTTTAACTCTGTTACATCTGGATTACTCTCCATAGAGTTGTAACAACTCTATGACGTGCATCAAACTTTGCAAATTGCCTATGCAAGTCTTTAATCAGAAAATGAACACAAAAAAGATTATATGCAACAGGAACACTTTTCATGGAGAGAATTACTGTTATCCACAACCCTTTAAAATACTATACCCTACATGCCCATACACAGGAAGTTTCAATGTATGGTATGTAGTCATTTTATGGAAACACGGACCTCAGCTGAGTGGCTGTCTGTAGTCTTCTCACCTGTGGCTCTTCTTTTTTTTTCTTTTCTTCCCTTGTCCTAGCTGGCATCATGGCAACCAGACTGGTGCTCCATCTGCTGTAGATATGACAAACAACCTTTACTTTGCCATAGAGGGATATCCGCCTAGAAAGCATGACAATTTATTTGTTACCGTATGGCTTTATGTGCATTCTGATGCCAAACATGACAGGGCGGGAAAGAGAAGGAACTCTTTCATGTGCATGGACAGAGTGAGGAACAAACAACATGAACAAAGTACAGGCTTTTTGAAACTCTGCCAGCAATTGTAACTACATGGGTTGAACACCTATAACATCAGAACATCACACTGACACTTATCTTAGCTACTCCGAGGTGACCGTAGATAAATATTATGTCTCTAAGATCTCATTGTTTTCAGTTTTGTGCCACTGTCAACATACATTTGAAGGATTTATTAACAGTCTGATGTGTTATTTCCAGTGAAAAAGAACTCATATTCAGACAGCTGGTTTCTGGGCCAGTAATAATAGCACAACAACATCAGAACTATTTTTAGCATATTAGTAAAGCTTTTAGTGTGCCGGAGGTCCTGGAAGAATAAAGGGATCTTTCTGCAGGAGATGATAAGGCATCAAGCTCTTTACTTTCTGTTGTTTCTGTGACATGTTCAGAATAGAAGGGTTGTAAGTTTGTTGATACTACTAAGAGACTGGTTTGAGCAGAGCTTCGGTTTTGGCTTTGGTTTTGAGGAAAAATAAGAATGTGCTTAAGAGCTATTGCATGTTACTTAAAAAAGGGACTCCTAGTGTGGGTGTGTCTGCTTTGTCATTATAATAGCCTTTACTCATAGAGAGAGCAGGTGGTAGATGTCATTCACCAGCCTTAGAATTAATTATTAAAATTAGCTGCCCCAGGGGATGCTTTGTGTAGCAGTGCCTGAATTTTGCTCTGATCAATTAAATCAATAGGTCTGTTTAGACTTAATTTACAGCCAACCCCACAATCCCTCCATTAGTATTTTTGTTTGTTGAAGAGTTTATTATTTTTCCTTTTTCTCTTAGTCATTGCTATGTTGTTATGTTAATGTGTCAGCCTCATGGAGGATTAGATAGATTTTATAGGAGAACACCATCCAATAGACACACACACACACGCACACAAACCAAGCTTAAATCGGGATAATGCAGCCAAGGCTGTGACATCATCACTTCCCACTTGCTGATTGGCTGAGCCACACTCCTAGCTGAGCACTCTCCAGCCTCAGATGGTACAATGATACAGCGAGGGAGTGCAGCGAGGGCTGTGCACATCCACGCAGCCATGGCTCCTCTGGACTGGAAAAACACAGGAAGAAGGAAGGACAGGGTTGTACATCACCCTCTCTGTTAGAGTTTTCTGCTTTGCCATCTGTGTGTGTGTGTGTGCGTGTGTATGTGTGTGTGCTTGCATTTGTGCACGCGTGTGCTTGTCTGTCACTGTGTGAAAGGGTCAGGGAGGAGGGGACGTTTTCATTACAGCCTCCAGCAGCTCTTTTTTGCTTTCACTGGGGAAACCAGGCAGCCAGATCTGTTTTGTTTCCTGTTGGAAAAAGGACAGCTGGGTGCTGTCGTGGCAGTTTTTCCACCGTGGATTTAATTTTCAAGAACAAATATATGTACTGTGGAACTCATAAAATGCAAAAGACGAGTGCTGGAGACGGGGGAGTAGAATGGCTCACTACAAGGATGTAACTGTCAGGAAGACTTCTTTAAACCTGGTGACTGGATTTTTTCAGTATCTGCGTGGTAAGTAGAGCAGCAGCATCCTTGATCTCTCAACTGTGCGCCCAATATTGGAGATAGCATCAGCTAATAGTTTGCAGGTGAATCCTTGTCTGTCTGAACTAACACAGTCGTGCATGTACTGTATCTGCGTGTATTTCAGTGTGTATGTGTGCATTTGTATGTTTGCGCTATGCCTCGGCAAGCATTCCCTGTGCATCAGTGATGATGCAGTTGCCTTTGGGTTAATGATGTCTTTGCTCCCTGTATAGTGTTCACATTGCTTCCTTAAACACGTGACCGCTGTCTGTATATCTGAGGGTGGATGGTTAAAAATGGCCTCTTTGAGCAGTGAGCATAGCTAGCCAACCAGCATGTATGACAGGGTGTTAGAAATCTGTCCCCGACACGACAGCAGCACAGCTTAAGCAAAGAAATGTGTTGCTTTGTTATACATGCTGCATAATGCATGAGCCTTGTTGATGAATGGATTGAAAGACCACAGAGCAGTCCGGGGTGACCTAAACAATCACATATGGGGTCTGTGAGATCTGTTGCAAGAAATCCTTTCTCCACCCATTCCCTAATCTCCTTCTATGACCTCTTTTTTTAAAACACTTGTCAGGATTGTCTGTAATACTGAGAACAGCAATCTTTCGTTAATCACACTGAACACATCAAACCCTGTCTGTGGATGTACGTTTTATCATATGTGGCGCAGAATTACTGTAATGCAGCTCGGCAGTATGGAAACAGTAAAAGTAATGCATGAGCTTTGATAGTTCAGTTTTGGGGGATGGGAAAATCTTAAACATAAATTTTGACAAAGACTGATTATTATCTCTTTTACATTCTTCCTTGTATACATTTCTTGAATCAGTTAAAAACCCAACTGAAAACCCCATTGGCAAGACTAAATCTAAAAAAGTCCTGCCAAGTCACTATCTTGTTCCATCTTTTCAATGAAAATCACTCATTTCTCCTTCCCATCAGAGGATATTGACATATGTGTCTTATGCATGTATTATGTGGCTTAAATTTTCAGATGAGCAAGAGGCAGTGCAGAAGAGAACTTTCACAAAATGGATCAATTCTCATTTAGCAAAGGTAAGTGTGAAATGTCATCCCTGGTATCTGCTGGTTTTGTCTGCCGGGAAAGTATTTGCTAGGACATGGAGATTGATAGATTTTATAAGCTCAAATACGTGTAGCTTAAGTAAGTTAGGAGTTGTCCTTTGTTTACCAGTTATCAACAGAGAACCTCGTGATGTGTGAATCCTTGTCACATTCATGAATCTTGTCCTTGGTTAGTGGAATGTCAGGCTACTGACCTGATATGCCTGTAGAGACAACAAGAGATGTCCACATAGTGCAAGATAACTTGATTTATCTAGTTAACTGTAAATAATGGCCTAATATACCCTGATTCTTTAGCCCTGTAAATCAAATCATGTTTCCTTGAACACAGCAAGTTTGTAATGAATGTTTGCTGCATATACTGGTGTTAAAGGAACATTCTTCCTCGATAACACTCACGAAATCCTTTTGGTATATTTTTTCCACTGATAAGTACTACTGAGGAGCAATGACAGAAACATAACAAAGCTCAGTTGTTCCGTTTTTAATAATCTCATTCAGGCTGTTAAAGCTTGGATGACCTTGTTTATCACAAGTGGAAATAGCTTGTGTTGACATATGGAATGTCTAATTAAATGATGCTGTGTTTTGTTGTGTGTATATATCTGTTGCATCTTTAGTGTTAACATGCAGCTACTGTTTATGAGTTGACGGGTATATTTGCAAGTGTTGAGGTATTTATGGGCTATGTGCACTCAGTGGGGCTGTGTGTACTTATTGACAGGATTGGCAGGGACATCGATGCGGTGTGCAGATGGAGAGCAAGAGGATGAGGACAGTACCCTGCAGGCAGTCGTCTGCTTCTGAATTATATGCTTCTAAATTCTGAGGCTCTGAGTGGACAAGAATAACGCCTCACGTTACAGTAACTGACAACGTGAGATTAAAATGACAGAAGCTGAATTAGGTTATTTGCATGAATGTTCTACAGTAAGCATTAGGAAAAACAGCAATCAGAATTCTTAATGACACAGCAGAGCATGCAAATCAACATCTATGATAGCAATCAAAGTCAAGATCTGTAAAGAGTCTTTTGTTGAGCCCTATCTGCCCACGATACTCCAAAGCTTAGCTTCTACGAGTTTAGAAGAATTTGAGTTATGCGGTGGGACAATGTTGGGACACTCTGTTGGTCTATTCTTTATTATTCATGCACTGCACTGAAGCTCACTCTCTGTGCATACCAATAGGGCTAATATAGCATAAGCCAAATCCTGAACCGATTATTCTCCAAAAGAGTTCTGAATGACCACTTAAAAAAAATTAATAGTGACTTTTCTTGTCACTTTACCATTTAGTTAAAAAATATTAATGTTTGTTATTGTTATGGGTTAAAGCCTTTATTATCTAAGTGGAACTTCCTCCTGAAGTCAAACTTTCCTTTCAGCCTTTGTCCCCACTTCCTGTAATATTCTATTAGCCTGCAACTTTCCAGTGGGTTTCACAGGTTTTCCACAGGTCCTGGACAGAGTAAATTAAGAATTAATAGTGGAAATCATTTGCAGCTGCCTTTTGTTTGGATGTTAGTATTTGAAAGGGAGTACTTTTTTAATTTTATATCACATATATAATAATTACTTCCATGGATAACATGAATAAACATGACATATCTTCTGAATGTTTTCGTTCTCTCAAGAAGAATACATAGAACATGTTTTACAGGACAGGTGCTTGTTGCTTCACACTGTTTTGCCCCAAGTCGGCAGCCAACTGCTATCTTGTCATGGAATATGTTAAGTTGTGAAATGGCCTGCTAACCGTGCCAAATTTAGAATTCTCATGGGAAGCTTTTCTCTTAGTTACTCTACTTAACTGAACAAATATCTGGTTTTTGAAAGACAATACAAAAAAAGTTGTCACTCATCTCTGAGACTGTGCAGCTCTGTAAATGTGAGACTGTACCCTGTTAGGGTTAAATGGGTTGCATCGCCTCAGGACTGGGCACCAAGCCACTGCTGAGGAAAAGGCACCATCTTTTCAGCTGCAGGGAGGCTCTGTGTTTGTTGCTAACAAGCCTGTTTCTCACAAACAGCACTAGGTTCCTATTCATCCCTGGTAATGTTATGGCATACCAAAAATTTTCCCACAGTGTAGGCTTAACATTAGACAATTATTTCTTATTCATTTCCATTATTTCTATATTTCAGGATGCACAGTTTAAAATGTGTGTTGTCTCTTCTAGCATAAACCACCTTTGGAGGTAAACGACCTGTTTGAGGACATCAAAGATGGGGTGAAGCTCTTAGCCTTGTTGGAGGTCCTGTCTGGGCAAAGACTTGTAAGTAGTGTTTGTTTATTCTGAAGGATTTGATAACAAATGTAATAGTTATGGAGGACTCATTTAATATATTTTAGATGCTACACACTTGATTTTATGTGTATGTCTTTGTTTAAAGGAAAGAGACAACACATATCAATCAAGTGTGCCTGTTCACAAAACATTAAATCTTCAAGCGAGGCATTTCAGTTAATTTAATGACTATAAACCATATAATAAGGTCATTTACTGAGTTGAACATTTTTTACATAGTTATTTTTGAGTTGTTAAACATAGTATACATGAAAATAGAATTATCAAACTAGTCTTTTCAATCAATTAATTAGAAAAACTAACAAAAGCTAAATTATAACATGATATTTAGTGTCAGATCACTACACGTAAATCATAGTTTAGATCTGAGCTTCTGCCATTGTGAGAGGGCAGTTACCACACCAGTTTCCACTCATAGCTGAAACCACAGCCAAACACTTTATAAAAAGACGCATGATTTTTCCCCCGTTTGACATTCAATCAGTCCAAACCTTTCTTTCTTTAAGGCTCACCAGTATTATTTATTTTTGCTCAATGCCAGAATAATGATAAATATGATTAATTTGATTATGACTTTTAAAAAATATTTGTTTGAGAAAATTCTTCCTGGCAACTTTTAGACTAATATTGTGCAATTAAAGTGTGTCAAATATAAAACTGTCACTTAACTGCATAGATATCCTCAGTTTATCAGAGATATCAAGGTTTTCTTGTTTTGTTATAGCCGTGTGAGCAAGGCCGACAGCTTAAGAGGATTCACTGGGTTTCCAACATTGGCACTGCTCTCAAATTCCTTGAAGGCAGGAAGGTAAGCACACTGTAATTGTGTAAATAATGGAAGATTGTATTTGTTTATTCTAAACTTTTATGAACAATAATTTGGAGCGATATAAAAGAAATATTTAATGTGCTGCAAAGTTAATCAGGATTTTTATTAGTCTTTTTTTCATTGTCATAACATGGACTCATAATATGCAGTCCTCGACATTCCTTTACCTAGTCTTTGAATTCTAGCTTCTGCTATTTTCTAGTGGTTCAAAAATCATTTTCATGCAGCAGATGTAATGAAACCAATCACAACTGTAAAGCATTTTGTTTTTATGGTTCTGACCCCTGAGAGAATTAGAATGGGAGCATGGTTGTTGCTGGCCATCGCCAGTGACTTAGCTCAAGTCTACAACTTTAACCTAGAAGGCTTTCCATGAACAAAATGGAAGAAAGCGCTTAACCCTGTTGTACACCAATATAAATATTAAATTGTGTCACCAACTGTGGTTAGACAGCAGCATATTATATTGTGTGATCTCTCTTCTTCCTTCTCTCACATATTTCTTGGTCTGCCATATTTCTTGATAAATCTGTCAGCAAATATTTATGCCATAACAATTCTGCGTTTTAGGATTCACTACTGACACGGTACCGTGTCAGTCTCTAACCTCACTGAGTTTACTGATATTCATGTGTCATATTCTCCAGCTCATGGTGTGATGTTATGCAGTCTGACTGAATCTGCTTACTTTTCCTCAACTCTTTGTTTCCATTTATTTGCTGTGATGTGGATGAGTACATTTAAAAATACACCATTTTGGCTGCACTTTTAAACTCTGGTGCTTGCACTTGCCCATCTGGGATTTATAGACGGACAAACTTGTAAAGAAACTTTTATAAAGTATCCAATCAAACAACACTGAAGAATCTCTTCATCTGTCTCATGGAGTGTACAGAGAGAGACAAGGACAAGAGTACAGAGTACAAGAGAAGCTAATGAGAATAAACTCATTATTAGATGTTTGTAGGAGAGAATAATGTGCCTCTGTAAAAAGGACTTTGTTCAGAGAGGCAGGAGACTGGACTTGATTACATAACCCATCTCTAAATCTCCTGGCTCTTTGAAGCCTGTGTCCTACTTTCATTTGGATTCCCTGAGGACTGAGACTTATATTGTTGTGATCTCTCTCCCATCACATGTGCCTCCAGTCTCTGTGTCGAGGATCTCCGGTCAGTTGCCATTTTACACCATATGTGATCATATCTTGGATGCATTATTTTCATGTTGTGCATAACTTATACTATACAAAGTTTGGACACAGCCGTGGTGTCAGTCATTCCACTTTCCTATTGACCTGCATTCAATTCTGGGTTCTGGTGTGTCTGGCTTGCTGTAACAAGCAGAGGTATTAACATGGTAATCTCTAGCAGTTCTGCAGTGCAATGTTTTCAAATGCTGTGTGCATCTTCTTTTCCTTCAATGCTTGATCTAGCACTCCTTTACTTTTTTTCTCAAGGTTGATCTTTCATTGTGGCTGTTTTTTACCTCTTCTAATGACAATGCTTAGATAAGGGCATCAAAGACTGGACTTTGATTACTTTGATAAAAACAAAAGCTTGCATTAATGTCTTGAGTAGTAAAAAAAATACCAATGCTCTCAGTGATGTCAAAACTATCTGCATGGGGGTTACTTGTATGAAAAATGATTTCCTTGGCTTTTTAAATGTTTTTCAGATCAAACTTGTGAACATTCATGCCACTGACATCGCTGATGGACGGCCATCAATTGTCCTTGGGTTGATATGGACGGTTATCCTCTACTTCCAGGTAGCAACTTATCTGTCATCCCAAAATCTAGATTGTTTCAGAATTCTGAGATTATATCCTGCGCTAGAAATAAACCTGTCAGACCAAATGTTTTTTTGTTCTTTTTTTTCTCTTCATGGTATTTATTTATTTTAGATTGAGGAGTTAACCAGCAACCTGCCAGCCCTCCATGCATTATCAAACAGCAACTCCTCTGTGGAGAGTATTGCCAGCTCTGAAACAGGAAGCCCTCCAATGAAGAGGAAGGTGGTCAACAAATTTCAGGGCAATGCCAAGAAGGCTTTGCTCAGATGGGTGCAATGCACATCTGCCAAGTATGCCACCTTCAAATTCTCAAATTACTATCATGGGTCATTCTCTAAATGTATTCAAATGAGAAAACAACTGGAGTCTACTTGTAGACACAGATTTTTTTATCTATAAAGTTTTATTTTTCCTATCATAACATGTGTTTTTCAGGCATCATGGAATCGAGGTCAAGGACTTTGGCCCCAGCTGGCGTGATGGTGTTGCATTCCAGGCAGTGGTGCATGCCATCCGACCAGACCTGGTGGACATGGACATGGTGCGGCAGAGAGGCAACAGGCAGAATTTAGAGGAGGCCTTTGCACTCGCAGAGAATGAGTTGGGCATTCCACGTCTGCTGGATCCAGAAGGTTCCCCTCTCCTTTTGTGCTGCTCCCTTTAAAGATGTCTGATGTCATCAACTATTCTTACAAAGTATCGGATGTCTGGTTGTTTTTAAGTTGTACAAGCAGCAATCAATATCAATTTGATTTATGAAATTCTGTTACTGCATCAAATCTCTCTACACGACAGGACAGTTGCCACCTTCCACTTGATTAAAATTCTGTCTTGCTCTGCAGCTCAGATGTTAAGTCTGTGGAACTGAAGCAGTCTGCAGTGGCTCTGCAGTCATTTTTTTCACAAGCAGAATTGTGAGGCTTTATTATACAAAGCTGCACTGAAGAGTCTCTGCCGAGATTGACCCTAATTTCTAGAAACATCAGGCCAGTGGTGTAGATGAAAGTAGACATGTATAATTAGCTTTCAGCCTCATCAGATTTATCCTCTTGAGGACAAAATATGGCATAATATCCCATGTAACAGTACTTTCACGGCACCTATTTCTTCAGGAAAATGGGAATGTTTTGATATTTTGATATTGACATGTTTCTAAAAATATATATTTTTTGTTGTTCAGATTATTCAGATCAAATTATTTTATTTTCGTTTACTGATTCTCTCTGATGTTTCCACTCAATATTTGTGTCTCTTCATAGATGTGGATGTTGACAAACCAGATGAGAAATCCATTATGACATATGTGGCTCAGTTTCTCAAGCACTACCCAAATCCCCACCAGTCTGAGACTGATGGACAGCATGATGAGGTATTGTTCACATTTATGACTATAAAAGCCCGTTTATTAGAAAGAAATCATATTTCTATAGATATTTTATGCTTATTCCCAAGGACTTCATGAAATGTCTTAGTCATGCTTTGGTTGAAATAACATGTAAAAACAGTGGAGCCATCTCTTTTTCATCCCTGACATTTCAATTCAAGATGTCATGAATGAAAATTATTATTATAATTTAACACATTATTGTGAGTTAAATGGAGTGACCCATTTGAATCGCCTTAGCCAATTTTTCCTCAGGGTATGCCTTTTCAGAGATTAGTGGCATCTTACGTTCATATGGAAGGAGAGAATACATACAGCATGCTTTTTTCTCAGTTTTTCCTTCTGTAGTGACTTCAGATTCTTAAACACGAGTTTTATTCTCAGTTAGAGAGAACGATCTAATGCCAAGCTCATACGAATAGCATATGGATAAAAACTACTGCTGCTGAACCAATTAGTTATTGACACTGTCTTGACAAATCTATATACTTGGGGCGATTCATAAAGTTTCAGAGAATCTGTAGAGGAAGCTTCTAACTTATATTACCAATTCCAAGTTTGAAATGTTAACCTAAAACTGATTCTGGACTAGTCTTAGAGAACCTTTGATCAAGGAAAAACCCATTTTATCTTGAAGAGCCTTGGTTGTTAAACATTCTTTTGAAGACTACAATTGGAAGCTCCTTTAAGGGTTCAAATGCTTTATGAATGATTTTATGTGGACTTAGACTTATTCTTAGATTGTCAAAGAGAATTCCCACAATTATGAGGGTTTTCTGATAGTTTTATTGCTTGAAAGAACTCTTTGCACTTTGAATATTTGTTAATGTGGCTTCACACCTATGACAGCTGTCATTGCATGAACACAGTGATCATTGTAATCATTCATATTTTGTTTAATATAATCACATAATCATTTATTTTCTCCGTCTTGTCATTTTCTGTGCACATTAAGCTGATTCTTGGCTCTATTCCAACTTTTGCATTGTCAGTACCAGTGCTTCAGGTGAGATTTGTGGTCAAAGCGCTGCATGCTTTTTGTTTGGATTGTGTCTCCACCTCTCCCTCATCTCATTTCCCGTTCACTTTTCTACTTTTTTTCCTTTGCTATTCTAATGCCTTTACGATGTATTTGCATTTCTCTGTGCGCTTCGCTGCTTTCCTGGATAGTTTGGTCCCCAAGATATAGAGCAAATGCTTGAGGTATGTTCAACTAAACAGACTAGATCAGAAGATTAAACTAAAATCTGGTGCCCACATTGTCTTCCTACCCTGTTAACTCGTCTCTGAACTACTTTGTTCTAAAATGTAGAGGTTGTTTGTGAATTTCTTAATGTTTTACCAGCTTGTCTTTTATCTAATATTTTTGTCTCACTGGAATGCAATATTACTGTTAGGCTCTTAATGGCATGTTAAAAAGTTCAAAAAGTTCAGGATTTGGTTTGCAACCAACTTACACTGCACCCCCCCTGACTGTGACAGAGAGAGGAGCGGAAGATGCTGAGAGAGCTGAAAGTGTTTTTAGATCAGCTCGAGAGAGATGTGTTGCGGGCCCAGGGGGCAGAGGGAAATCTCACAGACAAATACCAGGTGGGTAAAGCTTGGAAGGATGTAAAGTATCCCTTAAGAAAGACTTTTATCAACATGTCTGTCTCCTTTTGTATTGCAGGCCTTTAAAAGCTTCCATGTACAATATGAAATGAAGAAAAAACAGACAGATCCATTGTTACAGCCAGTCCACAAGGATGGCAAGCTGTCAGTAGATCAAGCTCTGGTCAAACAGGCCTGGGACCGTGTGTCTGCCAGGGTAAATTTATAGTTTTTTCTGCACAATGTTGATACTTAAAAACCTAAGATAGTTAAACACTCCTGTATTAAAGCAAATGTATGGCTTTATGATTGACAGTTGTTAAATTAGTCATTGTGTTTACATTTTGATTGAAAAATCCAATTAAAGCTAAGAACAGAAACAGTTTTAGTCATCAGGCAGTATACCTCTACAAGCATCCATAGAATGTTTGTAGACATGTGCAAATATTTTGATTGGTATAGCCCTCTCTGTGGTGGATCTTCGTTAAAAAAGGGTTTTTAAATACATGTCAATCGCAGCTGCTGGACTGGCACATCCATCTGGATAAGTCTCTGCCTGGCCCTCTGGGAGTGATTGGAGCTTGGCTTCACCGAGCAGAGATGGCTTTAAGAGAAGACATTCCCCTTCAACTTGCTCATGAAGAGACAGCCAATGTTCTCCACAGAAAACTAGAGCAGCATAAGGTAAGCCATCAAGACTTCTGGTGTATTTGGATATCCATCATAGTATAACAAATCTTGACAAAAGGACAGAGACAGAGCAAATGTGAGCCTGATGCTTTTGTGTTTTTGTTCATGATCTTGTAGGAAGTGTTAAAAAACTTGGAATTACACAGGCAGACTTTCCAACAGATCCACAGGGACAGATCAGTCAATGGGGTACCCGTGCCCCCTGAACAGCTTCAGGACATGGCAGAAAGGTGATACCTTAAAGATAGTTATTCTTATATTTTATAAACTGTCGTATAAAGTTTAATGCAACTTAAAAGCAAAAAATAAATAACATTACACCATTTATTTCATTTTTAGGTTCAACTTTGTGTCAACATCATCTCATGCTCACTTGATAAAACTGGAATTCTGGGAAATGAAATATCGACTGATGGCATTCCTTGTTTTGGCTGAGTCAAAACTAAAGTCCTGGATCATAAAATATGGCCGACGGGATTCTGTTGAACTCCTGTTGCAGAGCTACATTGTAAGTCAAATTAACTGACATTGCAGTTGCTGTCTTTTTCAAGGTGTTCCAGAAAACATTTCATTACCATCTCTCTTCATTTCAGACTTTCATTGAAGGCCACAGATTTTTTGAGCAGTATGAGATAATCTTCACAGCCCTCAAGCATGCAGCAGAGGTTTATGTAAAGTCTGACAGTTCAAGTAAGACTCTTTTCTATTTCATCCCAAGTTATGTTTATACAGTATTTACAGTACAGTATATGCAAGTATTTGTTTGGGCTCTTTGTAAACAGTCTTACTATTAATCTCATGTTACAGGGTCTAAGACCTGTAACAAAGGTAAGGCTGAAAACAGTTTGAAATCTTTCCAAACTCAAATTCACCTGTTTTCTAAGATTATTCTTTCTGTTTATCTGGGCTGCATTTTCTCTTTTAGCATTATTTGAGCTACGTGAACTAAAAAGTTTTGCTGCTTTCTGCATGAAGAGCAATAGTTGGAATGCTATTCTAGCATGATTTAACTTGCCTAATACACTGCAACAAAAGACCAAAGAATCAACAAACACAATCATCTGCTGTAGTTTAACCATTTATAGTCTGTACTGATTTTATCTGAACTTATCTGCATTCAAAATATGTTTTCAGTTGATGAAGCAGAGGGAGTGAGCAAATTCCTCAATGATACTACAGCTCAGTGGAAAAACCTGGCTTTGGAGGTTCGAAGTGTTCGCAGTATGCTGGAAGAGGTGATCAGTAACTGGGAGAAATATAGTAGCACTGTGGCAGCTCTGCAGGCCTGGATGGAGGACGCTGAGCAGATGCTCAACCAGTCAGAGAATGCAAAACGTGTAAGTTCATTTGGAGATGCTTGTGATGAGTACAATACATGGTCTGTTCACACATAACTTTTATTTCTGCCTAAATTCAAGATAAAATGCCACAATCTTTAGTGCATTTGTGTCTAATTGAACATAGCCTGTGCGGTTTAAATCCCGTGTTTGTTGATTTGCTTTCTTTTTTCAGGATTTTTTTAGGAACCTATCTCACTGGATTCAGCAGCATATGGACATGAATGACTCTGGAAATTTTCTCATTGAGACATGCGACGAAACTGTCTCACGGGATCTGAAGCAGCAGCTTCTTCTTTTGAATGGGAGATGGAGAGAGCTGTTTGTCAAAGTCAAATATGTAAGCTCGTGCCCATTAAATGTGCCGTTCCATCCATACATTAGCTTTTTTTTTTTTTACATATAAAAATGTAAAATACACCTCATTCCATTTCATTCACAGTATGCAAGAGCAGATGAGGTGGATAAATTGAGGCAAGACTACCAAGACGGGATTAATACCTTGAAAATGTTCATGGATGCAACCAAAGAGAAAATGGATGCTCCTGTTCAAGTATCTTTTCTCAATGTCAGAGCATTTGTCCAAGATGTTGAGGTAATCAGAACATATCATCATCTTCTTCATTAGTTTTACTTTAAAATATTCAGTTTATTTTAGTCTATTCTTAATCTAGGACATCAAGCACAAAGTGCCAGCAATGGAAGCAGCCTGCAAGGCAGCAAACCGCACAGCTCAGCTGTTGACCAAAGATACTCCACAAGAAGAAATTTCACAGATGATGACTGTGATGGCTTCAGTAAAAGAGCAGCTGAGTAAGGTGAGTGTACATGTCAACGTGCGGCAACATGTCAACATTTTTGTTATCTCAGTTTTGATTAACTTAAGTTTCTTTTCCAGTAAATATTGTAGTGGAGAAACATATAGATGATGGTCACTTTTGTGCCAAAAATAAGAAAAGTGATCCACCAGAGTCTGTCTAAACTTCCTGCTGTTTTTTTTCAGTCAATAATATGTTTGTGGTTCCCTTTTGTTAACTTTTTTATCAGGTGAGAGAGAGATGCTTGCCTTTGCTTAGGGAGTGTCAGTCCCTCTTACCTCCTTTGGAAGAAATGGAGAAGAATATCACAGGCTTCTACCAAGCTTTGGAGAAGGCTAGTCATATCACCAGCACCACAGATTCTGAGGGACCTTTAGACTTCAAACAGAAATGCCAGGTAACATCAATAAGTTGTAGTGTAATCAATTCCAATTATGTATTCATGCACAATTTAAAGATTTATATTTGACATTTTCAGTTTAGCACTTTCAGAATAACTGTTTAGCTTTACCTTTACTTTTTAGCTTGAAGCCACACAAAACTGTTAAAAGGTTAATACTGGGCATGTCTGTCAATCAATACTACAGGAGCTGGCAACATTCACGCACAGCTGTAAGAAGTGCCTGACAGTGATAGAGCGGAACCACCAGACCATCCAAAAAATAATGAACACAAGTAAAACCCTGCAACACATGGACATGAGTCTTCTGCAGAAAAGAGTGGCAGACCTGCAGACCTCCTCACAGGTAACCCCTACGGTTTGCTAAGAAATGCATTAAACTGAGCAAATATTTCAGTGTTTAAAGGATGACCTGTTTGTGTTTTTAGAACATGATTAAAGAATCTACTGAATGGCGGAAGCACGTGGAAGCAAACAGCAGCCTCATGAGGAGGTTTGATGAGTCACGGGTAGAGTTGGAGAAGGTTCTTAAAATGGCACAGAACTGTCTGACAGAGAGAGGCAATGCAGAGGAGCTGCTTAAGAAACACACTGTAAGGATGTTGTGAAGGTGTTGCTAACACTGTGTTTTTCTGTTCTTTCATAACTGAACTCTATACTCTATGTAACTGAACTCAGAAAATGTGCATTAGGATGTATGTTGATGTGACATAACCTCAGCGTTCATAAAATAAAACAGATAAGGACAAAAATGCATCGATAAGGATGAGGACATGTTTTTGCAGGAGTTCTTCGGCCAGCTGGACCAGCGAGTGTTGAACACATTCCTCAAAGCCTGTGATGAGCTGACCGACATTTTACCTGAACAGGAGCAGCAGTCACTGCAGGAAACAGTGAGGAAGCTGCATAAACATTGGAAGGTTTGTCCAGATTTCTTAAAACCTCTAAATTGACTCCCAATCTATGTGTGTAATTAAATGTCAGTTTATACAGTATATTCATACATGGTACTTACAATAGAAAGTCATTAATACTGACAAAACTTAATATATGTCATATGTCTGGTTTGGTCATAATGGTTAAAAATACCATCCATATTGTGTTCATTGTACTCTTAGTGTCTGTTGTGAAAGTGGCTTTAAACAGGTTACGCTGTCCCTGAAGTTGAGCTTATAGCTGCAGCCTTTATTCTGTAATAGGACATACAGACGGATGTCCCCTTTCACCTGCTGCACCTGAGGGTGGAGGTTGAGAAGAGCAAGCTGATGGTGTGCCTACAGGACTGCCAGGCAGAGCTAACCAGGGAAAACCGTCACCTGGCTAGCATGGGGAGCGAGAGACTGATTAAAGAGCACAGAGTAGGCACAGTGTGGTTCCTTGAGTTACATGTATTACTTGAAGTGTTAAATAATTCAGTTGCAATTCATTATCTTGTGGAGCAGAGTCTGAAGATCTTCCTGTGTGAGTGCGTTGTTTTTTAAATGAATTTTCTTCTTTTTAAACCTACTCCTCAGGCCTTCTTTAGGGAAAAAGGCCCACAGTCCATCTGTGAGAAAAGGCTGCAGCTGATAGAAGAACTTTGTCAAAAACTCCCTGAAAGTGACCCAGCTCTGCAGATTCTGGAGGCGGTCAGAAAAGAGTTTGCTGAGGTTTTGGAGGAAATCGAGAACACTCACCAGAAGCTAATGCAGCACCCAGATAAATGGAAGGAATACAATGCAAGGTGCAATAATTTTCAGTCCTTTTATAGTTTTGTAGAATTAGATTCAGATTTGGGATATCATTTAGCTTTTTGTTTAATCAAACAGAACACTTAGTATATAACTGGTGTTGTTGCATTTTTCTTGTCATGTTTTTCCTATTAGTGTTTCAAATTGTTCACATTCTGACAGTAATCATGTTAGGATTCTTCAATTTACTGGAGATGCAAAGCAGCTGTTTGAAGTGTTCTCAGTTTTCTGTGGTTTTATACTTCAACTGAATCCATTTTGCTCTACCTTTTTTACAATTTTCCCTTCTGATCATCAAGTCGCTTAGTTTAGTAACTTTGACATTTCCACATAAAAATTTTGTCCTAATGACAACTTTTTTCATATGGAATAACATGTATTTTGTATATACTTTTTTCTTTTTATTAATGTATTTATTTTCTTTTGGGGGTGAAACAGGTATGCTGAACTCTCCTGTTGGCTCATATCTAAAGAAAGTCAACTGAGGCTGCTCAGAAATCGAGCCAGTGACCCTAGAAAATATGGACAGGTGAAAACTACCATTGCGGTGAGTCTGTCTCTGGCATAAACCCTACTGAACCACCCACTGACATTTTTCTTCTTACGACTTTATGGTGTGTGCCTTTTCATGCAAGACTGGCTTGTAAGACTGTCAGGGTCTCATCTGAGAAGAACACTTTGTGTCAGATGACGTGTTTGTCCACATGATTTGAATAACTTGTTGTTTGCAGGAGCTGAGAAATGATGCAGAGCTACAAGAGGGAAATCTTGGTTGGCTTAAGGCCCGTATGGCTGTACTGATTGAAATCTCCGCTGACAGTGATGCCCAGAGGCAGGGAAGTTCACTGAGCAAGCTGTCCGTTGATTTTAAAGGTCTTCTCGCTTCTCTTTTGGAGGTAGGTAACATTATTATTTGTTTTTTGAGAAAAGCTAACAGAGTACTGCCATTGTTTTCCCCACGGTAATATATAGCATGCTACCAATTTGAATCTTTTTAAAAAAGGTCCTGCAGATGAGGATATGTTTTAAAAGTCAATGCAATCACAGTTTTTGAATGCGGATCCATGTGTTTTTCAATTTAAAAAAAAAAAATTGAAAAACACCATTTTTTATTTAGACTATTATTGTATTTTACTATTATTCAGCCAGAAGTATTATTTTCTTTATGTTTATATCTTATCTAACATAAGGCTGAGAAGATGGTGTTGGCCGTTGGAGATTGTGTGCAATTCCGTGAAGAGGTGCAGGCTACTTTGGATGACCTCATTCAGGGGCAAAAAGAGGCCCAGGCTGAGGTTGCCAAAATACTGGACTGTTCAACTGCCAGAGAAGCCCAGCAGCTGCTACTTGTTTACCAGGTAAGGTACAACTCAAAATGAGAAACGAGGCAGTCCATTGGCATTGTACATGTGTAAAGTTAATAGGATTTCTATGAAACATCTCCCTCTTTCCCATAGCAACAGTTGAAGCGCCTTAAGCTGAAGAGAAAGGACGTCCAGCAGCTGATCACCAGAGGCCAACAGCTCCAGGCAGAAGAGGGATTGGGAGAAACATTGCAGCAGGATCTGCAGAGTTTAGAGAACACAGTCAGCAAAATGGAGCAGAATATGGATTCACAGGAGCAAAGCCTCGAGGTGAGCAACAATACAATGGAAGACATAAACATTTGATAAACTGGACATCAGTAATGGTACAGAGAGGATATTATTAGTACTTTGAATGATAATGACCTCTTCATTTTTACTTTCCTAAAAATACATGTTTGTCTTCCCTGTGATATGGTGCTATGATAAATTCCTGTAAAATAAAGGATTACAGTTAATGCTGTTTCTTGCTACACTTTTGCTTTAGCCTCTGCGGTGAAGTGTGCTCTTTAAAGTGATGCTTTTCTTTAGTTGTGGTCAATTTTAGATTTAACTTTAGGTGTTATTTGGTAACTTTGGTAACCTTTTGTTTTGGAAGATTTTGAAAGTCTATGAAAATATTGTTTTACTTGTGTATTGCAAAAAAGCATGCTAAATTAAATAAAACCGTTTATAGAGGGAGATATAAAAGGTTTTGGACTTTGTGGAATTTAGGTAATGCAGTATTTGTAGATGCCAAATTCGAATACATATTTTAAATGGATAGCGTGAGGCTCTTAGTTTGACTCGAGATGGAATTTGGCATTACAGTGCTTTTTCACAATGCTGTGTTCCACTGACGTTAATTGTGATGGGATGTTGATGAATCCGAGATGGTAATTTTCAAAGGTCATTTTAGGCTTGGTTGTGTTGCGTAGTAGAGCTTTTAAGGATGCAGAGGGTTGGATTGCTCAGAGAATTTAGCTGGGCCATCCTTGCCAATATGGTGATTCACTGCTCCTATGCTAAACAGTCAGCAATGACAGTGTGCTATGCGCTGCATCCATAAGGCTGTGATATGTGCTGGTTTGCAGCAGTCTCAGTATACGTGTGACTGTTTTGTTGATGGTACTATGATCTGTCTTTTCTGATTTCTGACCATTTTTTTTTCAATTTAATTTTGGTGTAGTGCTCAACACTCCATCCAAAGTGTAGTGGTTATTTAGGGGGTTGATATGAGCATGAGTTTGTTGGCACATTGCTAGGTGACAAACTTTTTGTTGCATTACATCAATGTTGTTTTTTGGACTAAATTAATTGTTAAAGAATTGATTTTGGAGTGTGGTGGTTCCCAGGTGACACTCGCAGCCTGGCAAGAGTTTGACAGCCAACAGGAGGCAGTGCATGAGTTTGTCAACAAAGCACGCTCCACAATTGAGAGAGATCTGAACTTCAGCAGTCCAGAGAGCCTGGCAGTTGAATTGGACCAGGCAAAAGTACGTCCTTAATATTATCTGTATTAAAAATACAGATTTGTTACAAAAATATAATGTTGTGTGAACTTAACATGATGTCATGGAAAATAATGCTAACTTGTACCTTTTTGTATTCAGGTTTTGTTGAAGCAGTGTGAGGCTGAAGCCATGCATATGAACACATTACTGAAGAGAGCAACAGAGATCCAGCTTGGTCCAAAAAATAAGACCCTGCTTTTACAGCAAGCTCGTTCCCTAAGTGAGCAAGTGGGCAAAGTAGAGGCTGGCCTAAAAACAGAGTAAGATGATTGATTACATTGAATTTTAATGATAGATTTTAGGACAATCCTGCCAGTGTTAGTGTGAAATAAACAGACTCATATATCGTAAAACAGGCATATTTGAAGCCATGTATAAATATTTGTTTGGCAAATGAAGTGGAATAATCTGTGTGTTAGTGTTGAGAAAACTTTGATTCAAGATCCATTTTTTCACTCTGCTTTGCTCCAGTTTTAAAACACTGGAAGAAATGAAAGACCAATGGGATCAGTTCGGAACTGGATTTGAAGCTTTTTCCCTGTGGATATCAGAAAAGGAAAAAGAGCTGGACTTAATTAAATCTTCTGATTTACCTCTTGAGCAACAGATCAAAAGAGTAAAGGTAGAGTGCTGTTTATTTGAAACTACACCTCTTTTACACCTTTGTGCATCTTTACCAGCAAGCATCAATCACAAAACCCTGAGTATTAAATGTGAAACTGGTGGGGTTTTTAATGTGTATGGCAGAATGCAAACCAGTCTGTGATGTCAAAGTGCACTGTCCTTTACAGATTTAATGACATGAATGTAATATAATCCTAATTTGATTAAGTGTTCATTTGTTATAGCTCATTGCATGTCCTATTAGTGCTCTTCATAATTTAAACCTCACTGAACAATTTTTTCACTGTTTGTTGCTTTGTTGGTTTCCTGTCCAGGCTGTGGGATCAGAACTTCAAGATCGGGCTGAGGTTCTTTCTAAACTTGAGACTGACTCCCAGTCACTGGCCCAGTTTGTGTCTTCGGGAGAGGCAGCTCGTATCAAAGCTCGTCTGACTCAGATTGGAAGGTACTGGGATGAACTGAAGGAAAGTGTTCAGCAGCTTGATGGACAGCTGGAGGAAAGCTCCTCACATCAACAAAAGTTCAAAATGAGCCTGGAGGAGGTAAATCCACTAACTGGTGCAGGTCGAGTGTTTAATTTACGCTTAATGTGGACAGTTTGTTTTTATCTTAATTTTTTTTTTCAGATACAAAAATCTCTTAGTGAAATCCATCCAAAAATGGAACAACCTGTCAAGTCCTGCACTTCATCATCAGAGACATACAAAGCCCTTCAAAGTCACATGGTATTCATCTCTTCTCCTGATATCTTTAAAAACGAAAACATATTCATATTTCTTTATTGTCGATCTCTTGAGTGAACTGCAAGTTAAAACAAAAATAATGAAATGACTGTCATGTATTATCCTTTCACAGGATGTCTGCCAGTGTCTGGAGTGGATGAAGGGAAGCTTGCTGTCACTGTCAGCTAGTGTGCGCCGCCTCAGTGATAAGGAGCAAGCAGTGAGGACTGTGGCAGAGCTAAACACCAGCTATGAGAAAACCGTCCAGAGAGCGAAGGACAAGCAGAGCTCCCTTGAAAAGCTGCTTTCTCTATGGCAAAAGTGTGTTTTCTATCAACAGTGGATAAACTTGAATTATTTACTTACTGTAGGCTAAATCTAAACAGTCACAATTATTTATAATGTGCAACAGGTATGAGAAACAACTATCAAACTTCACCTCCTGCCTGGAGAGAAATGAATCTGCATCCAAACCAGAAAGTCAGTGTCCATCAGCTGATAAAGTCAAGCTACAGACTGAGATTCAGGATTTGCAGGTATGACAAATACAAGACATACATGCAAAAAAACAGCTTCTTGATCAAAATATAAATGGTTAGTTAATTAATTATTAGAACCGATTATTATGTGTGCAAACACCTTTCGGTTTTCTTTTCAGGCATTGCAACCTGAGGTCCAGTTTCTTGAGAGGGCTCATGCGGAATTAGTGTCTTTAGGGGCATTGCTGTATCCAATGGCACCTGAGGAGACAGCTTCTCAGCTTAAAGATGAACTTGACACTCTGCAGAAGCGACTCCTTACCCAACGAGAAGTCCTCCCTCAAAGGTATGGTTATAGAAAGAAACATTAACTGTGGTTTTCTTCTTCACTGGCAAAGGTGGAGGGAGTCATTTTATCTGTTTTTTAAACACTGAGGTTCTCAAATAAATAATAAACATCTGAGTATACAAAATGATGAATGACAAAGTTAATATTGGGCCATTTTCTACCCTAGAATCACAGAGCTTCAGAACCATCTTTCATTGGTGGAGCAGCTTGATCAGGCTCTTCTTAAATTCTCCCAGTGGAGTGAGACCCTGCTGTCAAATCTGCACTCAGCTTCCCCAATCAATATAAACAACCTTCAGTCTGCTGCAGCACAAGTCAAGGTAAGAGCCAGGCCGAACAGGAACTATTTTAGTGTATTTAGGAGACAGATAGTCATTTGCTTAAGAGTAACCTAGATAACTTATCTTTGACAGGAGACCCACTTGACTCTACAGAAGCAATCCAGTGTGAAACAGAACTTGGAGCAGCAGACAAATAAACTGTGTCAGTTGTTTGAGCCTGCTGATGCACAGCTCCTGCACAACAGAGCAGATAGCTGCCTGCAGCCTTTCCAAGAGGCCCAGCACATAGCAGAGCTTCAGTTAGAATGTCTGGAAAGGCTTGAGGCATTTATGCAGACCCACAGAATGGCTGCAGGAGTGTTGCGGGGACTGAGACAGACTGTTGAGAGCGCAGGGAGCTGGGACCGTGGAAGAGTAGAAGAACTGCAGCAAGAACTGGCCACTATTGTTCCCGACATAAATCAGCTTGAAACTCTCGCCATCAACCTGGACAGTAGTCTCTGCAAAGCTCATCTCCACATTGGTGCTGAACAGGGTTCTCGTAAATCGTGCCGCATGCTGGCTGATTCGCTCAGTGCTGAGTTGGATGCTGTGAGGAACTTGCTTGGTACAAAGCAAAGTGAAGCAGAGGCTCTCGGGGCACTGTGGACTTCGTTTCGACAGAGAAAAGAGCAGTTGCTTAAAGCAGTGGAAGACATTGAGGAAAAGGCCGATCACCAGACCTTCAAAGAGCCCAGCCTTCACTCTTTACAGCTGCGGTAAAGTTTAACAACGTTTTTTTTTTTTAGTTCATCTATGTAAATGGGAAAATAAAAAAAGATTAATCGGGTACATTCAGTTACATTAAGGACTAGCGATCGACATGCATAAAAACATTTGAAGCAACTCTCTTTCTCTGTTTACCAGACTTCGGTTCTTTAATCAGCTAGAGGATGAACTGCAGTCACACCAACATGAAGAGCAGTGGCTGAGGGACAAGGGCAACCAGCTGGCCCAAAGGGATGCAGAATTGGCTGGGGATGTACTGAGGGAAATTAGCCTACTGGAAACAACATGGGAGGCCACCAGGAAGCTCATTACAGAGAGGTACTCTGGAGTAAAAGGGTCATGTTGGCATGGTAGTCAATGTAAAATTTAAATTGAACTGAAGTTTAAGCATTTTTGGATAATTGGCTTTTTACTTTCCTTTTCAGACAGGAACAATGCACTGTTCTTGCTGAGCTAATGAGAGAATACCAAATGCTTAAAACCTCCCTCAGTGGCATTATTGAGAGTGCTGAACCTTTGGTTGAGATAATCTCAGTTCTGAAGGATCATGAGGAAACTAAGAGGTCCTTAACCAAGGTAAGAGGTTTGCTGCTTTTGGGGTTGTACCACATCTTGTTATCCTATACTTCAGCTGTTTATTTAGCAGATCAATAATGAAGGATTGTTTTGTTAGTTTTTTGTTTTTATCATTGGTATTCTGTATCTTGAAGAGATCTATTATCTCTGCTCTCTTCGTAGCATGAATCAATGAAGGCAGACATGGCTGGCAAGCAACATGACTTGGATCAGTTATCCAGCAAAGGAAAACAGCTGATGGCTGAACTGAAAAAAATCCCGGAGTGCGACACTGACATAATGAAAAAGGATATGGACACAATCGTTGATCATTGGCTAGATGTAAGTTTGATATAAGGCATTGTGGTTTATCAAGGGGTGTCTTTTTGAACAATGACGGATTTAGTCCGGAAGTCACTGACTTTTAGTGACTGATTTCATTCATCTCCAGATGTCTGAGAAGATAGATGAAAACATTGATCTCCTGAACCAGACTTTGGGACTGTGGGATGATGTACGTAAAATAAACGAGGACGTTGAGAGCTGGACGAGCGGGTGTGTGATTGAGTTGAATGAAGCCCTGGGTAATTTCAACAACAGTGAGAACGTTTCAGCAAGGCTCTCGGTGTTGCAGGTACACTGTGGTTTATGTTATCGATATAAATATTTGAAATGATTTGTCTTACCTGCATTTTGAGTCTTAACTGTAGAACTCTAGAAAATTATCAGTATTCATCATGTATACCTGGTTGCCTCACTACTTTAGAAAGACACTGCCTATACAACCATAAAGTGTACTATTTATGTATTAATTGTCCTTGGAGGTCTGTTTTTCATTCTTCTTTCATTTGCCACGTCCACAGGGAGAAATTTGTGAGAAGGAGCAAAAACTTGAAGTTCTGCACAGAAAAGTGTCAGAACTGAAGACATGCTGTCAAAGCCAAGAGACTCCAGCTAAGTTGCAGGTACTTTTCTTACTCTTCTTGACTTCTTACATTTCACAGAAAAAAAGGCTTTCACCACAGATGCGCTTTTCTGAACTTATTTTTCACTTGTATCAGGTGTTGGAAAATGACCTACGCAAGAAGATCAACAGTGTGCAGATGCTACATGAGCAAACCAGGCGAAACCTTATGGAGTTCAGTTCCCAAAGAAAACAGCTAGAGGACTACATCTCACAAATGTCTGCATGGCTTAAAAGTATGGAAGATTCGATGATGCCTTCTCCAACAGGATCAGAGCCAGAGGACATCTGCAGAGTGAAGGTGCAGCCTTAAAGAATTTCCCCAAAATAATTTCAGCATGTCTGAAATTGAAATTAAAAATCTATTAAATTAAGGGGTCTAAATGAGGCCACTGGTTTAGTTGCTGGTGTTATGGACACGGAGTCCTTGTTGTGCGGTGGACATCCCTTTGTGAACTAATCAGCTTTACTTGGTTTATGAACATGTTTTCCAGGATCTTCAAAAAGAGCTCCAAAATCAACAGGGGAGTATTGATTCCACCCGGGAAAGTCTCAACAACCTTTGCAGAAAATATCCCACTGAGGAGCTGGCTGGTTTGGGCTCATCTCTCACTGACCTTATAAAAACGTATGAGTCTGTGAACCAGATTTCTGTCAGGACTTTGACGTCACTGCAGAATGGCCTGCAGCAGCAGTTCAGTGGTAAGAATTGATGTCACGTAGTTTGGTGGCCTACGAATATTTCCTTTCCACTTTGGAGAACAAATGTTCCAGTAAATTTGATTTAGTTTTACAAGTGAATTAACTTTATTCCCCTGTGTATTTAGACCTTGTCCAGGAGTTCCACCACTGGCTTTCAGAACAGCGGGAGATAGTGAAGGAATGCTCGGACAGATCAGGAGACACTCAAATTGTGGAGCGTAAACTACAGAAGTTAAATGTAATAGCATATTAATCAATTAATTAAAAAGTATAGACAACAACTAAATATATTGTATCTTTTCTTTTATCTCTAAGATCCGGTGAAATTAATGTGAAATATTGCTGAAATGAAAAATGTTAAAAATTTGATATGCTGATTATATATTAGGGTGCCATGGATCGTGTGGAGGAGGGGGATTTTCGTCTTACTCAGGTGTGTGAAGAAGGAGGGAAGCTCCTACTTCATCTTCCCAAATCCAGTGCTGCACAGGTCCAGCAGCACCTTTCCTCCATCCAGCAGGACTGGGACAGCTTTGTGGAGCAATGCAGACAGAACCGACAGATCCTGGAAGATAGCGCATCTCTCATGAAAGGGTAAAAGACTTATATCTCTCTCTCGAGCTGTATAATTATTTTTGTGAGTACATCATTTACAAGCTAGGCTATTAAAATCCCCTGTAGTTACGAGGGTCGTCTGAAGAAACTCAGGTGGTGGTTGGAACACATGGAAAACAAAATGACTACAGATCTGCTTGAGGCCAAACAGCGTGGTCCTGAAAAAGCTGTGCTTGAGCAAGTAGAAGAATATCAACAGGAAGTGCTTAAAGAAAGGTACTTAGTGTATTTATGACAAAGGAAATAAGTGATGGAATGGTTTCCCATTCTCACTCCTAAATGGACATCTTGATGAGTACACTGTGATAGTAGTTCTTACTGGCTGTCTTCAAAGATTTTTTCCTTTGCATGCAGGGATTCATTTGAGCGTCTCTGCCAGGAAGGCCAGGCACTAAATGAGGGTGGGCGAGGTGATGGAAGTGAGACGAGAGTTTCAGCTCAGCTGCAGTCTCAGCACCAGGCCCTGTTGAGGCGTGTGAGGGAGCGACTGCGCAGTTGCCAGCTCACTTTACAGGAGCAACAAGCCTTTGAAGAGACTCTGCAGGCTACCTGGGTCTGGCTTAATGGTGTCCAGGAGCGATTGGCTTCACTCAACAGCACAGTTGGCAATAAAGAAACTCTGGAAAAAAGACTGGGTTTTGTACAGGTCAGTAAAAAAAAACCTGAGCGTTTTTTTTTGTGTTTTTACATACATTTTCTAGTATGAATAGTATATTTCCACGTAACATCTATTTACATTGATTTTTTTATCACATAAATTAATATATGATGGTGTGGTGTGTGGTCATATTTCTTTCTATATGTTTTTCCAAAGGATATCTTGCTAATGAAAGGTGAGGGTGAGGTGAAGCTCAACATGACAGTAGGAAAAGGTGAACAGATACTTAAGCACAGTACAGTGGAGGGCCAAGAGGCAATTTGTTCACAGCTTCAGAGCCTGAAGGATGCATGGGCCAATATGCTGATGACTGCCATGAGCTGCCACAGGTAGGAAATGTGCTCTCTTTTACTCCTAAGTGTGAAAGAGTTGAAATTATTTATTTTGTTGTATTTCACATTTTTATAATTCGCTATAGCCGTCTGGAGTGGACAGTGGCCCAGTGGACCAGTTTTCAGGAAAATAAGAGCCAACTGCAGCAGTGGATGGAGTCAGTGGAACAAGAAGTGGGGATGACTCTGCCTCAGCAACCAGGCCTAAAAGAGAAATCTGCTTTGCTTGAACGACTAAGGGCTGTCCAAGCTGACGTGGACGCTCATGCCGCAGCTCTGTCACGCCTAACAGAAAAAGCAGTGGAGATGTTTGAAAAAACTGGTGACCAGACGTTTGGACCAGAGTCAAGGGCAGAGCTCAATACACACTTTGATGATATCTCAGCTGTTGTGAAGGTAATAAGAATCAAGTGTATGTCGAGTTATGCGGGCTAATGGCTACATGCTAGATGTGTGGATCAAGTAACACCTCCAGTGTTCAGGTAGTGGATCGGGGTGAAACTTGTTTCAACATTACAAAAAACTACATGCTGTAACATTATTTATGCAGCTACTTTAACTTAAATTAGCTATAGAATAGTTTCTGATGCCATTTGACAGGTGTATAATTAGATAATATGTGTGGCCCTTGTCTGATACATTCTATTTTTCTCTGCCCATAGGGTAAAGTGCAGTCCATGCAAAACATTGTATCTGAGCATGAGCAGTACCTTGATGCTGTGAGAGACTTCAATGACTGGCTGATTTCTGCAAAAGAGGAGCTGCAGCGCTGGTCTGACCTGTCAGGAGACTCAGTTAACATTAAGAGAAAGCTCTCAAAGGTTCAGGTAAGGAATAGGATGTTTTGGCTGCTTGGAGGGAGTCGTCTTTTAGCTTGTTTTTCCTCTTTTTAGGTTCTTCTTTCATTTCACGTCTAATCCGAATGCATAGACAGGGAAAGACTTGTTATACATCTTTATCAAATGTTTAGATTAAAGCGTCTCATGTTTATGCACGGCTCTGTCCACTTTTAATAGTTCTTGTCATCTACAACAAGGTGGTCTTTATTTTTTTAATTATTCATTCATTTTGTTTTTTCAGGAGCTGCTTGACTTTAAGCAGCGCGGAAGAGAGAGGCTGAGCCGTGTTCAAAGATGTGGAGCAGTGGCAAGAGATTATACAGGCTCGGGGGGCTATGAGGCTTTGGAGAGAGAGGAATCAGCCCTGTTGTCATCATGGGAGCAATGGGAACGTGGGGCACTGCAGACACGCGCTAGTCTGGAGACTACACTCTCACAGATATCAAGCTCAGAGCAGGAGTTCAACAGCCTGTCTGCACAGCTGGAGCAGGGCTTGCACGACTTCAGCTGTCAGCTGAAAGACTGGCGACTACGGTTAGCCCAAGCAGAGGGCAAAAATGATGACGAGGAAGCTGTAAAAGGCTGGGAGATAGCCAAAGTAGGTCTCATGTGTATGTGTATGTACGTGTCCATAAAGATTATTTATATTTCTTGGTTGTCATAAATGTTTATCCTGCTTACCACACAGGAAACTTTGGAGGAACTTGTTAAAGCAGAGGCTATATCTGACAGTCTGAAGACACAACTCAATGATTTATGCAGATTTTCCAGAGAAATGGGAACACAATCTGAGAGAGTGTCCGCTTCTATTAAGGAATACAACAGGTAAGAAAAAGGATTACCAGTAGTATTCACTGTCAAATTTATACTGTTGTTAAAATTAGGGCATATGCATTATAATATTTTAGATCCAAAAGAACATTTGGCATCAAGGAATTTCTAACCATTTAATAAAATTTTATAAAACCTTCAACAAATTCATTTTGTAATTAACTATCAACATTGGTTCATGCAATCTCAATCAAACTTAAAGCTTTTTTCTCACAGAATTTGATTTTCTGTTTATTACAGTTAATATTTCAGGACATTAGAGCTGACGGAAATCTGGCCAGCAAACCATGTATATTTAATTTAGAGGATATTAATTTTTGTTAGAGTCTGTCATTTAATTTATTTTCTTTCTGACATGTCTTTAGTTTGAGTCTGCAAGCCTCTAAGGAGTGTCAAAGCAAAGAGAAGCTGCTAGGACAAGGGTTCCGCTCAGCATTCAGAGAGTTCCAGCAATGGCTAGTCAATGCCAAGATCAACACAGCCAAATGCTTTGATGTTCCTCAAAATATCAGTGAAACGGCCGTTAGTTTGCAGAAGATTCAGGTACTTTTGTTTCTGAATCGGCAGCTTTTATAATCAAAGTCTCTGTGTTACTGATTAATGAATATATGTACCTAATTAATTGAATGTCATTAAACAAACATGATAACCATTTATTTTCTCTCTTCATTGCAGGAGTTTCTCAGTGACAAAGAGCAAGGTCAGTCAAAGCTCAATGCTGTGATTGTGAAGGGTGAGCTTCTCTGTAATATTGCAGCTAAAGATAAAACAGATACAATCCGAGCTAAAATGAGCACTGCCAGAGAAGACTGGAAGAACATAACATCTAATCTGCACAACAGAGAGACAAGTCTGCAAGTAAGAATTTAAATGTTGCTTATTACGTGGCGGTTGCATTTAATTTTAGGCTCTTAAAACCTATTGACTATTAAAATACTTTATGTTGAGAACACATCTCATCACTCTCCTTTTTATTTCAGAACGTTCTCTCACAAATGAAGGATTTTGAGGAAAGTGCAGAGCCTCTTCAAGAGAGCTTGAATGCCACAGAAATGACTGTGCAGGAGAGCAGCACAAGACTTCATGATCTCACAGCCAAGAAGCTCGAGCTTCACAAGCTACAGGTACTAATGTCCAAGATCCAGGCTCGGAACAACGCAATCATATTCAAGTGTAACAAACCAGTCAGTTCCTCGGTGGGAACATGAAGGCACATCCTGTTTTCAGAAGCTCACCATTCCTTAGCCCATCGCTTGAGCACTGCCTTGCTAACTGCCATCATTCTGCTCATCTTTGCTACTTAAATGTCTGCTTAACTGTGTCTATCATGTATAGCTATAGTTGATGCACTTATTTAAGTAACAGAGCATTTGGGAGATGTGTTTTGTAAAACTGGCTATTTCTTGCAGGTTCGTCTATGTACCAACAGCTTTACTGAAAGTAATGCTAGCCAGATGCCTCATTCACTTTTCTTTGTGTCATGTTCCACCCCTAACATCCTGCTTTAAGTCTGACTTTACCTGTCCTTTACATCTGTGTTAGCTTGCATGCCTCTTTGATAACCTGCTTGTGCTCTTCCAGTCTGTGCTTGAGGAGTTAGCCTCTTACGAAGTTCAGCTGAGCAGGCTGAAAGAGAAGGCCCAGCTGTTGTGGGATGAACACTCGGCCGGCAAGGGTTTTGTGCACCGTGTCTCGCAGCTCTCTGCTCAGTACCTAGCTTTAACCAACCTGACCAAGGTAAAGTAATGCCTACCAAATTGCCTGTGCACTGGGTCTTTTGTGGGGTTAAAACTGCAATGAAGACAGAAGCACTAGACTGGATGGAGCTCAGACTTAATCATTTTTTTAAAGGTCATATACAGTGAAGGTAATGAGTCATTATAATTTAACAATTCTAATATCTGTCTGTTATTGTGAATCATGGATGGTATGGACACTAACACCCTTAATGTTCTGCCAGTTGTATTATTAACGAATGTGCATTACTACCTTGTATGGATTTAATTTTGAGACTATGATGTTCCTTTTATGGATGCTTTGTGTTTTATTGCTCTGCAGGAGAAGGCTTCCCGGATTGATCGTATCGTCACGGAGCACCAGCTGTTCTCCCAAGGGTTGAAGGAGCTGCAGAACTGGATGGCTGACACCAGCCACATGTTACAGACTTACTGTGCCCCCACTTCTGACAAAAATGTTCTTGATAGCCGGATGATCAAGCTTGAGGTTTGGAAAGTTACTCTTCATTTACATAATTCCACAATGAATTTCAAAAGTACCAAATCTATTATGTAGTAGATATTTATGAGTGAATGTTTTCCCAGGCTTTGCTGACTGCTCGTCAAGAGAAAGAGATACAGCTGAAGATGTTGATCACACGAGGAGAGTCAGTGCAGAGAAACACATCAGCTGAAGGAGTCCCAGCGGTTCAAAAACAAATACAAGAACTCAAAGACTCCTGGGATACCCTGCTCTCTGCGTCTTTTCTGTGCAAAAGGTTTGCTCTTTATCATAATTGTCAATGCGAAAACTCTCCGTTTGCCCTCAGAGATCTTTTTTATGAAACCTGGGAAGTTTTCACATCTTGTAACTGCTGCTTCTATTTTGTCTCTTTGGCCCTATTGCAATGACCGCCTTTGATTGACATTCATATAACTTTTAAAATTGACAGTCAGCTGGAGGGCTCATTGTCTCAGTGGACCAGTTACCAGGAGGATGTTCACCAATTTGTGGCTTGGATTGAGCGTGTTGAGGAGAGTCTTGATTCTACTGATAAACAGTGTGCAGAGATGAGAGATAAAACAACTAATCTGAGCAAAGCAAAGGTATTGCTGTCCTGTCTGTATATCGTGGACTACTTACAATTCATATTGTAAAATAATTCACATTAATGATTATATCATTGTATTTGATCAACATGAATAAGAAATTGAGTTTTCCCTTTCTTTTCAGTTACTGTATGAGGACGTACTAAACCACAGCATCCCGTTGGACACCATTACTGCCAAAAGTGTCAGTATCGCTGATAATTATGTCACTCAGCTGGAGCTCCAAGAACTTCAGGAGCGTTATAACACTGTCAAAGAAAGGGCTATGGTACGAAAAAAAATAGACTGTGTTCATGATTGTGCTTTTCATTTATAGTCTATCTAAAATGCTGGCCTTTACCATTTGTGAAAATACTAAAAGTACTCATGAAAACTGTACATTATCTAACAATAAATGTCCTAAAGGCTGTGATAATCTGTAGATACATATCATCAAATACTGTCATTTAATAAGGCACATATTCTCTTAAATACCTTTTGCTGTGATGAGTGAAATTAAATCAAATAAAATTCAGAAAGTTAACAACACACTGCTTGAAACAGTAAAATTTCAATCTAAACATTACCATCTAGTGTTTACAGTTCAGAAATGTACATTTTGAGATTAATGATGTGTGAATTTAGAAGTGCTTCAGTGTTTTCACTGTGGTGTTTCTCAGATGGTGGTTGGTAAAGCTGAAGAGCTGGTGAAAGCCCACCAGGAGTATCAGCGTGGTCTTCGTGCATTTGAAGAGTGGCTGGAACAGGAACAAGAGAAGCTCGGCTGCTACACCCAACTTGAAGGTGATGTTGATATGCTGGAGGAGACTCTTCAAAAGCTGCAGGTATAAAAAAAAATGCATTGTCTGGACTTATACTGCAGTCACAGACTGCAACACTACTGCATAGGAACAAGTTGCTATATGACATGAAAGTACACAAAGGGCTCAATAGAACCCTTATATTACAGGAACTGCAGCTTCACTGCACCGAAGGCCAGGCTTTGTTAAACACACTGCTGGTCAATCGAGAGCTGGTTATTCCCTGGGGTCTACCTCAAATAGAGGACAGAGCATTGGAAACCCTTCAGCAGGAGTGGAGGCTTTACCAGGCCCGGCTGGCCGACACTCGCTCTCAGCTCAACAGTGCTCTAGCCAAACTTCGGCAAATGGAGCAGAAGTTTCAGCGTCTCGACAGTTGGCTGAAAGGCATGGAGACCAAAGCACAGCTGCGGAGTCATCGGAGATCCGACCGCGCTACCAAAGAAGCTCAACTACAGATGATAAAAGTTAGTGTAGAATATATATAATGTTTTGCTGTGTTGTACAATTCTCTTTGAAAATATATATATTTCTAGTGCAGTTTCAATGGGTGAAATGAGTGCACATTAAATTGCCTATGAAATTAAGAAACAGATTTCTTACTTTAATAAATATCTTCTTTTAACAGAGCTGGCAAGAGGAGGTCCTTGTTTATCAAGAGGAAATGGAGGGCCTTTCTGTTTTGGCCCAGCAGGTCCTGGATGAGACTCACATTAGTAGTCGCATCAGTACCAGAGCCACGCAGATCACTGCACGATACCATGCCCTCCTTCTTCATTTACTGGTAACATAATGTGAAACACAATATAACTGCAGTGCATAATATGCTTTACTTTAACCCCCTCCTTTATATTGCAGGAGACAATTAAGCAGCTCCAGGAGGAGGTTTCTTGCATTGAAGAAGCACAGTGTGTATTCACCACATTCTCCGACTGGCTCAGCACAGCTCAGCATAACTTCAACACAGTGGCTGTAAGTGTTGATATTGTGGACCGGTTCGCTATGGAGAGAAAAATGAAGAAACTGGAGGTATGTTTCATCTTGCAATGTTCATAAAACTAATGCACAAGTGTCATAAGTCTTGTTTTCTTGTTTTTGTTCAACATTATATGAAAACATCTGATATCATTTCAGGGTCTTCAGGCTGACATGGAGCAGGGTCACACATACCTGAAGACAATGAGGGAGAAGACTGAGCGTGCCATGACTTTTTTGGAAGAACCTGAAGCAGATCAGCTCAAGGAGGAGGTGGATTCACGACTTTTCCAACTGGAAGAGTTGATGGTAGCTCTGCGCACAGAGCATAGCTCCCTTGAGAAGTTCATCTCACTTTCTAAGGACTTCATAGATAAATTCAAAACCCAGACCCAGTGGCTGACGGAGACCAAGAACTTGTTAGCATCAAATGTAGAGCCAAAAGCTGAACTCTATCAGAAGAAGGCTCAGCTAGCAAAATATAAGGTAAGTTAATACCGGTCAAATAGTTTCAGAATTACTGGATGTTATCAGAGTGAGACAATTATTTGATTTTATGTGTAATATTTCACTATCTTGTTATCTCTGTAGACCATTCAACAAACCGTGCAGTCTCATGAATCAGCAGTGAAATGTGTTATTGAGAAAGGAGAAGTGCTTCTTGATGCAATCAATGACCCCGCTGTTTGTGAAAACATGAAAAAGTTACAGGCTGAATATCAAGATCTTTCTTTGGCAGCAAAGGTATGGAAACTGACTTCATTGTCTTTTAAATGAATTTTTCTTTAATAAACAGATTTAAATCAAACTGAAATCAAACATAATTATGGACGTGAGCAGACATTTTTAGAGCTACATTGTTCATAAATTTGATATGTATTGGTCTGTCCTAACATAATATTCCATAAAAATCTGAGATATTGTTTTAATTAGACACACGTCCAGAAGCTTTTGGAATGGGTAAAAGAACACGAGGACTACAACAGTGAATTACAAGAAGTTGAGAAATGGCTGTTGCAGATGTCCAGTAGGCTGGTAACCTCAGACTCCATGCAGACCAGCAGTATGGAGATGGCTACCCAACAGCTTGCCCGACACAAGGTGAAGCAAGTGATTCCCAAAAATATCTTAATTTGCGACATTTACAGACAGATGGATTTATAAAGAATCATGCTCACTATGAGAAAAATATTTTCAATTAACAGTAGTTTTTTTTATCACCAAAGCAACCAAATATGACAAACTTTCATTATTTTGTTTCTCTCATTATTTTCAGGCTATTATGGAGGAAATAGCAAGTTTCGAAGAGCGCCTCACCAGCTTGAGGCAGAAAGGGGAAAATCTAGTTGCCAGCTATACAGACCAAGTGCAAGCTAAGATCAGTCAACAAGTCCAGGCTCACCAGCAGGGGACCAGAGACAGCTATTCTGCCATTTGTAGCACTTCCCAGCGTGTGCGTGAGATGCCAACAGTCTTAGATCTGTTTTGCAAAATGTTCTAACACGGGAGTAATAAGACATTTATATCACCAAATCAAGTTAAATCATTTCTAATCTCCTGTGTTTTAACAGGTCTACCAGAGTCTGGACCGAGAGTTGCAGAAACATGTTAGTCATCAGGACACTCTCCAGCAGTGCCAGACTTGGCTCTCCACTGTACAGGAGGAGCTACAGCTCAATGATCAGGGACCATCTGGTCTGCAGGAAGCACTGAAACAGGTATTTACCCCAAATGCTAAGAATGCAGTAATGTCATAATTTGCTTTGTTTTAGTTTTTTCCTGCATAATTTATTTGGATTTATTAATTTGTCACACACAGGTGAAGCACTATAGAGCCCTTCAAGAGCAGGCCAGCACTTACCTGGACCTGGTATGCTCTGTGTGTGATCTGTCTGATGATGCTGTCAGAGTAGCGGCTGCTGAGGTTCAGCAGATCAAACTGATGGTCAGTATCATTTTACCTAATCTTGTGCTATATGACAGAAAATACAGATTCTGTGTTTGGTTAATAAGTGTGTCACCCAAACATAGACATGCACAACCGTGCATGTATTGCATATCTAAAAGATGCTTGGCTTTGCTGTATATGTGCAGATTGAAGAAAGGATGTCCAGTGCTCTGGAGCTTTCCGAGGGCTGGAGAGAGGTCAAGGAACAGAAACAAGATCTAACAAGCTCTTTCCAGGACATGGAGCAGCAGCTTCTCAGTCTCTCCAGAAGACCAGCAGAACTGGAGACAAAGATTGCTCAAAACATGCTGTTACAAGCCAAGGTGCACACAACTACCATAACAATCTGTTTCATGACTTCAAAGACAAAGAATTATAATTTTTTTATTAACTTAAGATTTTAAAAAAAGATTTTAAAATGTTAGGATCTGATGGAAGTTTTTGTTTCTCTTGATCAACATTTTTTCCAAAAGGTCTTAATGGCTATACCAGCCTAACCAATACTATGTTTCTTTTTTCAAATAATGTAACAGCACAATGATTCTAGCAAAGGGTCTAAAAGAGATCATTACTAAATGTTTCTGGATAAGTACATTGAGTTAACACTTATATATATATACGTTTTTCTGTATTTAGGAATGCAGCCAGCATCTGCAATCTAAACAGAATATCCTCACCAAGATGACTGAGACTGTGAGCAGATTGACTGGTGGCCAGGAATCTCCAGAACATGCTGAGCTTGACCGTCTAAGCCATTCCTGGCTCGAGCTCTGCCACCAGGCTAACAATCTACAGAAACAGAGAGAGGAGGACCTGCAGAGGTCTAAAGAATACCATAACTGTATCTCTGCTGTAGAGGTGTTGTTTGAACAGGTGTCCAAAGACTGGGACAATCTGGCCAGGTGTGTGTACATCTGTGAACATTTTTCATAAATTACAACAGTAATATAGTACATTTTAATAGTACAATGATGAGACTCTTTGTTAAATTTGGATGTTGAATTTGACTCCTTCTGTCCCACAGAACGGATGCTGAAAGTTCATCTCAGCATTTACAGGCCTTGCGGAAACTTGCTATAACATTGGGAGAGCAAAAAGGGGCCCTTGAGGACCTTAAAGAGCAGAAGCATAAAGTCATCCAGCAATTGAACTTGGATGACAAAGAACTTGTTAAAGAACAAATCAGCTACTTTGAGCAAAGATGGTCTCAGATGCAAAACCTGATTGAAAGGAAAATCCAGGACTCAGTGGTGACCCTGGAGGATATGAGTCAAGTGGAGGCTCGTCTGAGAGAAGCTCGGGACTGGGCAGAGGAGCAGCAGCCTGCTCTGTCTGAGGCCATGAAAATGAGCCCTCCCCCTGAACTGGCTCAGAGCTTCCTGTTTGACCACCTGAGTATCTGCAGTGAATTAGAGGCCAAACAGCTCCTCTTGGCACAGGCGATGGCGGATGCTGACAGGGTACTAGCACGTCTGGGCCTCAGTGAACGGCAGCATCTGCAGCAGCTGATTTCTGAAACACAGTTGGAGGTGGAATCTCTTAGTGTGAAAGTGGTGCAGAGGAGAAAACACCTCAGCAAGGCTTTTACAGAGAGGACACAGTTCCTGATGGCTGTCAATCAGTCCATTTCTTGGGTTCAACAGAATGAAAAGAAAGCCCAGGCAGAAGAGTACATTGCTTTGTTACCTGATGACCTAGCGAAACAGGTACGAACATGCAGGAACATTCAAAGCAGTCTAAAAGCGTATCAGAGTGAGTTAACTTCCTTGTGGTCTCAGGGAAGAGACCTGATGAGGGATGCCAGCGAGGAAGAAAAGAATGAAATTCTCACAAAGTTGCAGGAGCTGCAAAATGTCTTTGACAGAACACTTCATCGATGTGGCCAGAAACTTCAGGAGCTTGAAAAAGTGTTTGTGTCTAGAAAATACTTTAAGACAGACTTAGAAAAAATATGCCAATGGTTAAAACAAGCAGATATCGTTACCTTTCCTGAAATCAATCTGATGGTAGGAGACGCTGAACTGGAGGCACAACTGCTGAAGTATCAACAGATAGTGGAGCAGGCCATTGATTATGAGAACCTCCTCCTGATTGTACAAAGAGCAGGTCAGGAAATCTTGCCCACGCTCAATGAAGTAGACCACTGTTATTTGGATGAAAAACTAAACACCCTCCCTCAGCAATACAACAGCATATTAGCGCTAGCCAAAGAGAAACAGGAGAAAATTCAGCAGGCCATTCTTACAAGGAATGAGTACACCTCTTTCATAGACATCACTCACAAAGCACTGAAAGAACTTGAAGAGCAGTTCAATAGTCTTGGGACTCAGCCTGTAGGCTTGCAAACAGAGGAGGTTGTTAATTTGCAGAGTGAATACAAAGCAATCCAGGCAGATCTCAGCAACCTGGGTCAAGCTGTGAGTGAACTGAACCAGAAGAAAGAAGGATTTCGGAGTACTGGGCAACCATGGCGCCCAGATGAAATGACTCAGCTTGTTAGCCTGTACAATGGTCTGAAGCGGTTGGTAGAACAGAAAGTCGAACATCTGGATGAAACTCTGGAGTCATTTGAGGACCACAAGGCAATGGCGATGCAAGTGGATTCTCAGTTAAAAGCCACTAAAGAGCAGCTGGTGAAAGTGAATGCAGAAACGCAGTCAGCTGAAGAGAGGCTGAAGAACTATCACGCGTTAGCAGGAAGTCTTCAGAGCGCCAACTCTCATTTGTCAAGGCTCATGGAGCAGATGGACACTCTAGCCCCTCGTGTGGACCAAGCAGCACATGATGCCTCCAAAGAGCAAGTGGTTCTGTGGCAGGAGGAGCTGCGATCTTTACAGGCTGCCGTAGGGGACCTCATTGAAGAATGTGAAAACAGATTTGTCCAAAGTAAAGACTTTGAGACTGAGATGAAAAGGACACTGGACTGGCTGCAGCAGATCAGGGATGAACTGGACTGTGCTGTGATAGTGGATGTCAGAGTGGAGAAGGTGCAGGAGGAGATCAGGAAGCAGCAAATAATGCAAGAGGAAGTGCAATCCAGACTAAGAATTGTGGCTGCTCTTAGTAGCCGGGAAAAACAGGAGTTTGTCAGTGCCAATGAGCTTGTGCCCACCCATGTGGATACAAGCTTGGAAGAAATGGCAAAGCTGCAAGCTGATGTTCAGAAAGCACTGAGCGCCAAACAGGTGAGACAGTTTCATATTTTTCAGTCACTGAGCTTTGAATTATACATTTCTTTTTCATGTTTTATAGGGTTTTTTTATATGTGCGATTCTTACTGTTTCATAGTGAAATTACAGAAATCTTATGTCTTTGTTTGATTGATTTTGCGTATAGATTACTCTGGAAGACGCCTTGGTTTTGTGTCAGAAATACCACTTCAGGATGCAGTCAGCATGCGAATGGTTGGAGGATGCTGTGTCTTTCCTTCAACAAGCTAGCTTGGGAGTGGATGTCGAGAACTATGAGGAGTGTCTCAGGCAACAGGCTGATATCATGGCAACTGAGCAGGAGTTTCTCATCCACATCGAAGAACTACAAACCCTTCTTCCTCAGCTGGAGAAACTGGTGAATCCCACACCAAAAGAGCAGCTCCGGGTGAGTGTGGAGTCAGCAAAGCAGAGAGGCGCAGAGGTCCAAGATCAGCTCCGGTGTCACCAGGATGTCCTACAGGGGTGAGAGTGATAAGACGCTCAATGTCCCATATACAGTGTTTGTATCCAACGTTCCACTATATACTAAGTACAAATTCATTTTTCTGTCAGCTGTGTGACCCAGTGGAAGTCATTCCAGGAGGCAAGGCAGACTGTCATCGAGCTTATGAATGAGGCTGAGAAGAAGCTCACTGAATTTTCCACTGCTAAAGCAGCCACAGGCCAAGAGGCTGAAGATAAGCTATGCAGTCATCGGGTATGAGGTTATAACTGTAAACCAATTTATTGAAACACAGGTGCTGTGACTGTGAATGCTATATGTCTTCTTTTTTCAGTCCCTCGTGTCACTTGTGAATGGCTTCCAAGAGAAACTGAGTGGTTTAGAGGAACAAGCTGCACAACTGGAAATGGTTGGCAGTGATGCCAGCAAGGCCACCATCAGTCGCTCCATGACCACTGTGTGGCAGCGCTGGACACGCCTACGCAGTGTGGCACGGGGGCAAGAGAGAGTACTGGAGGATACAGCACAGGAATGGAGCACGTTCAGGGAGAAGGTGCACAGATGGGCATAAAAGATAGCTCAAAATTGAATAGAGATATGGTTTTGGAAAACTGCAATAGATGTTTTTATGTTGTAGATGGTGAAGGTTAGAGATGTATCTGATGAGCTCCAAAGCCGCTTTCCTGACAGTGCTGTAGAGAAGGCATCCAAAGCCACTCTGCAGTCTCTGTTAGACCAGCATGACCTACTATGCCAAGACCTGGAACGGGAACTCTCTTCTCTCACTCTGCTACGTCAGTATGCCCTCAGTCTGCTGCATGATGTAGAGGTGCCTTCACCTACAAATGACCAAGAAGAGCTGCCCAGCTTAAAGGAAATCAGAGCTGTTCAAGACCAAATGGAAAGGTAGAAAAACAAACAACTTGAAAAAACAGCCCTCAGCATAAATTTGTCATTTAAAAAATTGATTTGTTGAATTAGACCTCTTATGAAGATTTAAAAAAACATTTTGATTTTTTAATTCTTTACTTTTTAATCAGAATGTATGTGTTCCCTATTTTCCCCCAGTTTGTTGACACAGTCCAGGACCAAGCGGGCTCAGACAGCTCAGGAACTGAGGGAAAGAGAGGAAGTGGAGAAGGAACTTAGTGTTGTGAAAGCCTGGATCCAGGAAACCAGGGAGCTGCTTCTGAATCCCACACAAGATATTGATTCTTTATTGCAGGAACTTGAGGTAAAGTTGCCATCTATGAGAGAAATATATTTTGTATCCAAAAAAGATGACCTGCAAAGTGGGCTCATACAGAGCTTGTAAACAAAAAAATTTTAAATGTTAAATTATGACTGACCATTTCCTCTTTTTTAAATGTGCCTTTGTATTGCTGCATTTAGATTTTACATGGAGATGTAATCACATATCGCCAGAATGTGGAAAAATTAGCTGAGCAACAGCAAAGCAAGTATTTGGACCTCTACACAATACTACCTTCGGAAATTTCCATGCAACTAGCTGAGGTTTCACTGGCACTGGGTGCTATTGAGGATCAGGTATATCAGACTTTATTATTTAAAGAGATTTGAATGTAAATTGAGTAATTCCAGAGTTGTTATCTATTGAGCTGTTCTGCAAGTCTCCCATCAAAAATAAGGAACGGTCATTTTCTCTTTTATATCACAGGTTCTCTCAAAAGAGAGAGAAAACCAGAAAACCAGAGAAATAAAGGAGGACTTCAGCTCCAGAATCCATGACATGTCTGCAAGACTAAAAGCAATCTCACAAAAGTTTAAAGACAAATCTCCTGATGTTGACCATGCCAAAGAAGAGGTCAAAGTAGGTCCTTTAGCTTTTGCTAAGTCATGCTATTTTTGTTTAGTGAAGTAAGAGGGAAAGGCTATTTGTTATCTTTTGTCAAATATTAACAATTGCATTTATTAATTTTCCTTCTAAGAGTCTTTTTGAAGACTTGGATTCCTGTGGACGCACACTCTCAGAACTGGATACAGCTGTACAAGATTTTGCTCGCAGAAACCCCCTGCTGGCCAAACAGCTGAGTGATGCAATTAGCAAATTGTCAGAGATGCATCATCACACAACTCGGCTGGCAGACTGTAGAAACAATTGGCTCAAAAAGGTTTGCTTTTTTAAGAACTTTTTCACAGTAAACAGCTGCAGCACTCATGTCCAACAGCTATGAAAAGTGTAACACATTTGTGTAAATAAGAATACATACATGTTTGTTTTCTTGTCTTGATAGGCGGTCTGCTATTTAGATGAGTACAATGAGATGCTGGACTTCATATTGAGGTGGTCAGAGAAAGCTAAAAGCCTGGTGAGGGCAAACATCATCTGGAACTCCTCTGTTCACCTGCAGGAACAGATACGCATGTACCAGGTGAGTTGTTATTGGAATCTCTCAGCCTCTCTCAAGGTTAATTTGAAAAATAAGCATGCAATTAGATGGACATGATTTGCACTGGACAAATAACCATCTAAATAAAATAATTTTGACACTTGAAGATCATTATATTTGTCAACATTTGATGAAGGCTATATTGCCAACAAGTGCCAATGGGCTATTATATGAGGTCGACCTACAGTTTCTTATTATCGTGAGACCATTCACATATGTTTTTCATCAAAAAGGCTGTACTGCGTGAGTCTCGAGAGCTCCACGGAGACCTAGAATCTATGGCAGAAAAAGTAGAGCTTCTGTCTGAGGTTCTGCAGGTTGAGTCAATGAGCCAGCAGGTATGTGAACTCAGTCGGCACACTGATGAGCTTCAGCAAAGTATCAAGACACGACTGCAGAGCCTGCAGGATGCAAACAAGGTAAAGAAAAAAATCTTTTCAAATTACAGTTTGTTTCCATTGTAGTTCTTCAGAATTTTTTTTAAACAAAAATAAATGGTATTATCACATTTTGTTGCATATTGTTTTGTATATTCAGAGTATGGAAGCCCTCGAATATGAAGTTAAGGCCCTACATGTTGCTCTGGAACAAGTTCAGGGCACACTAACCTCTCCAGAGTTGGCTCGTCAGAGTCTTAAAGAACAGCTGTCTCAGAGACAGGTAAACATAGCACATTGAACTCCATTATTTAATCTAAAAATGTTTTATGTAACACCCTGAAAGCTTAGATAGCATGTTTGGCACAGTATTAACTCTTTTGTTTCGCAGCGTCTGTTGGCCGACATGGAAAGTTTCAAGCAGCAGGTTCAGGCAGTGCAGCTCTGCCAGAGTGCCCTTCAGGTTCCAGAGGAGGTGATGCCCAATCTTGCCATCTGTCGAACAGCTCTGCGTCTGCAGCATGAAGCCAGTCAGCTGCAGCACGTGGCAATACAACAATGCAACATATTACAGGTACAACATGGGGCACTATCACTGCATTAGATTCACAATGCATTTTTGGAAAAAATAAATAGATAAATTAATCAAACTGGGGATTGGTTGAAAAGAGAAGCTGGAGTTAGTTTAAAATATACTCTTTTTAAATCATGAAAATATTATGTATTAGAAGTTCTTACTGACCTTACAAAATGTATTTTTCCATGTTTTTAGGAGGCAGTGGTTCAGTATGAGCAATACGAACAGGAAGTGAGAGATCTGCAGGGGCTCATTGAGGAAGCACATCGGGTCATTCAGGATCGACCAATCCCTACCAATAACATCCAGGAGCTACAAGCCCAAATCCTTCACCATGAAGTATTAGCCTCTCTATTGCATACATGGGACTATGTATTTTACTGTCATATACTTAACTTTAATACTTTTTCTTCAGTTTAAAGAAAAGATATTGGGATGGTAGTCGTAATTATCCAATTAACTGAATATCCAATTAACACTTTGCTGAAAAGTGTGATTCATTGTCAAACGGTCTGTTCTGTGTGATTTGGGTTAGGATGTATTCAGTTAATGACTTTTATCTCTTCTCGCACAGGAACTTGCCCAGAAGATTAAAGGTTACCAGGAGCAAATTGCTTCGCTAAACTCAAAATGCAAAATGCTAGCAGTAAAGGCCAAGCATGCCACCATGTTGCTGACAGTGAGCGATACAGAGGGACTTCCTGAGGGGCAGCAGGAGATGGAAGGGAAGAAATCTTCAGCACAAGCCATTGTAGTAAGAGCAGAAGAGATACATACATACATACATACATACATACATACATACATACATACATA